CCGCTTCCTGTTCCAGTCGGGCGTCAACCTTCTCTCTTGAGCCAGCCCTCCCAGCGTCGCCTGTCGCTGGAGGCGCGTGCTCGTGACCGACTGCTCCTTCGACGCGCAGATTAGCGACCTGGACTTTACTGGGCCGTCAGTCCTGGCCACGTTACTGCACGGTGCCGCTCCCGTTCGGTGGCTTCTGCTTTGTTGTTGTATTTTGGCCTCGTCGTCGCGTCGTCTCCTGCGGCAGGACGGTGGCTCGGCAAGACGACGAGGGTGAGAGTATAGGTGATAGTTGGTGAACGCACGACGCGGCTGCAATGTGTCATGGCTGGTGCGTTATACACTTTCAGTTTGGCAGTGTTCGCGCTTGCTTCGAGTGTCCGATGACGTGTCGGCACGAGTGTGCGATGGCAGAGCCATAAGACGCCGTGAATTTGATTGACCAGTCCCCTTGCGGTCTGAACAGCTATGTGTCTAGATGAGCGTGCCAGTGTGATGTTGACGATGCAGTGGGATAAAGAAGAGCCGCTGCGAGAGCAGCATCGACAGCAGATGCAGGAGCTGGATTAAGATGTGTAGTGGGATGGAAGAACAGGAGGCTAGTGAGGATCGGAGGGATTAGGAGGGATGGGGAGAGAGGGAGGGTTGACCAGGTGAGCAAGAGCAGAAGGAGGAGTTTGGATGATCCAGTGGAGGAGCAGCAGCAGAAGAGTGGGAAGGAGGCGGCGGATGAGGATGAGGACGGGAAGGCGGAGGAATGAGGGAAGGAAGGGTGTGGAGGAGGCCAAGACAAGCAAGACCACTTACGAGCCATAGGTTGGCGTCTCGGGACCCTGCGGGTAAAATGACCACCTTGGAGCGGTCTAGATTGTATGGATGGTCGAGGAGGAAGAGGATAATGAGAAGGAGGGGATACCATGAGGTGTTGCAGGCTGACGAAAGGGGTGGTGAGACATTTGGAGGAGGATGGAAGAGGAGGAGTTTGCATGGATGGGGGAGGGTATGAGGAGTCCTCCGTCTGCTCCCCGATCACGGTTGGTCTACTGGGCTTCATCTACGTAAACCCATTCCCTCTCTGGACCTCGTGTCTTCGTTTTTGCTATGAGTGCGGTTTGGGTGTGTTTCGGGATACGATGCCGGTCTGGTCGTTGGCGTGTTCGGCCTGCCCGGAGCGTGCCATGTGTCAGGAGCGCAGGTTCGCGTCCAGCATGGGCCGGCAGGAGCTAGCCCAGCGAGGCCAGAGTGAGCGGAGGGCCCTGAGGTGCAAGCGGCGTGATTCACAGCTTTTTCGAGCACTCGTCCACAGTGATGTGCAGCATCCTGTCCACTTTCATCGAGGATAGCCCGGCCAGCCACAGGTCTTGGTATTCCCGTCGCAGTTTGATCCCGCACATTGTTCCCCACTCACACTTTCATTTCCAGTTCTCTTCACCCCTCGCTTCATCTGAGGTCACGACGTTGGCGTGAGCCTTTTCGTCGGTCGAGAAGCCTGAGGTGCAGGAGGGGGGAGGGCAGGAGTTCGAGGAGCAAGACAAGGAGTAGGAGGATGATGGCGAGGAGCAGAAGAGGATGCGGAGGAGGAGCAGGAGGGCGAAGTGAATGACGACATCCTCGAAGCGCGGCGGAGCCCGCGGCGCGTCCGTCGTCGTCGTGGTTGGTTGTCCATCTTCTGCCGAGACTTGCCGTGCGCTGCCTGTTGCCCGTCGTCGTCATCGTCGGCCAGTGCGTCTGCCGTCGTCTGTCGTCGTTGCTGTCGCCCCGTGATCGTCCGCAGTCGTCTGCCATCTGCCGTCGTCTGTCGCCCGCGCCCACGAGGGGGGGGTGGCAGAGGGGGGGGGGCCTTTCCAGAAAGGCTACGACAGGCTCCAGCCTCCTGAGAAGTTCCCCAGGCCCTCCCCGAAGCCACAGAGGAGGGCCCCTCGGAACGCCGGAGGGCCTCCGAGCAGCCCGACCGCCTTCCCGTCCGCCTGCCCGTCCGACCGCCTTCCCAGAAGGCCAACAGCCTGACCGCACCTCTGACTATGGACTTCCTCCTTTGCGCGCCGCCGGGTCCGTCTGTCCGCGTTCCGTCGTCTGCCGTCCGTCCGTCCGCTGTTCGGACGGGGCCAGGACGGCGATCAATCCGTCCCAGAGCGCTCTCGGAGCGTTCCGGGACGCCCTGAGGAGGCCGCGGCGCCCGAGGCGTCCCTCAGGGCCGCCAGGTCCCGACGACTCTCGCTGGACCCTCGCCCGGAGTCCTCCTCGCCCCGGCTTCGTCTCGGCCCCGCTGCCCGCCAAGGAGCGCTCCGAGGCCGCCCTCGGCGAGGCCTACGGCGCGCTCCGCGGCGAGCTCGCCGAGGCGGCCGACGCCGACGCGCGGGCGGCCGCGGCGCTGCAGGCGGGCGGCGCGCGGAGCGCGGCGCCGCGGGGAGCCGTCTCGGCCGCGAGGCTCGAGGCCTCGAGGGCCGCGGGTCGGGGGGGGGCGAGGGTCGAGGGGTTTGGGAGGGTCGAGGGTCGAGCGGAAGGCTCGAGGCCCGAGGGTGGAGCGTGCCGAGGGCCGAGAGGGTCGAGTCGAGGGGTCGAGGGTGGAGTCGAAGGGTCGAGGGGCCGAGAGGGCCGAGAGGGCCGAGGATGGAGGAGCGCGAGGGTCGAGGGTCGAGTCGAAGCGTCGAGGGTCGCGGATCGGGAGGGCCGAGGATCGAGGGTCGGGGAAGCGTGAGACTCGAGTGTGGCGGAATTCGGGTTTGCCAACGCCTTTTGACGAGCGCGTCGTGGATTTTGACGGTCCAGTTTTCGTGGGATGCGTGCAGCGGGAGCTCGTGCCAAATTTCAGATTCGGTCTCGTCATTTTCATGATGGCCCCGTCAGGCCAACCCGAGTCCTCCTGACCCGAGTCTTGCGTCTCCCCGAGAGGGGGTCCTCCTCCTGCGGCAGCTCGCACCGGTCGCTCACCTTCCAGTGCGTCGGTCTGCGGTGCTTGAGGCCGCCTGCGCTCTCTCCGCGGCGACTGCTCTCTACGCCTGAGGCCCCCCCCGCGTTCGCCCCTCCGCGGTCGCGCTCTGCTTTTTCCGCTTGTCCGGCGTGCATCTTTCGAGGCTCGAGGCTCGAGTCGAAGACGAAGACGACGAAACAGCCATGATAACACGAATGATGGGATTCAGAAGCATAACCGCGATGAGCATCGGCTTTCGAGTGTCCGCGCGGATTTCTTGCATTCGCATTGGGCCCCCCTGGCGGCGCCTCAGGCGCAGCCCCTGGCGCGTCCAGAACCGTCCAAAATATCCGCGCGAACCCTCAAAGTGTACTACTGGCCTTTGGCCCATGCCATCTCGCCACCGCGCCTGGGTTGTGGGTCAGAGGCCTCCAGGATGCCTGTTGGGGGTTCTTGGGGAGCCTCCGGGGTGTTTCTTGGAGGCAGTATTGAAGCCTCTTGGGGCTCGCTTGTGGACCTGCTGGGGGCCTCTTGGGGTCTCTGTGGAGAAGCTGGGGTTCCTGCTGGCGGCCCCTCTTGGCGCGGAAAGCTCACAATGTCATCTCGAGTTCCTCCTCTTGGGCTCCTCTTGGGGCCCTCTTGTGGGCATCTTGAGCCGTCTTGGGCGCCCCTTGGGCGGTCTGGGGGCCCCCTTGGGAGCCTCGTCAGCTGCCTCAGGGCGATCTTGGTGGCCTCTTGCGACGTCGGGAACTCGAAAAGGCAATAACGCCCAAACCCTTCAAACACCAAAGGGGAAATCAGCGAATGTTGCATCTAGGGGCCTCCTCGGTCCTCGGAGAGACTCTTCGGCGTCTTGGAGGCCTCGTTCGGCATCTCGGAGCCTTCTCGTACAGTCTGAAAGGCCTTTTGGCGCTTTCTTGACCCGTCTTTGGGCCCTCGTAGGCCGGAACATATCATGCCACAAGCCGCGGGAAACCACAGGAGATTGACGACTCTGGGGTCCGGGCCCCTGAATCCTCAATCCTGAGGACCGAGGACTACAACGGACTTGAGGTTATTGCCACTCGTGCCTCGCGGCACGGTGGCGGATGTCCACTGCATTTTCAAATTCTCCGTCGAGGATCGAGGCTCGATGGCCCAGGCTCGGGGATCGGTGCTCGAGGATCGGGGGTCGAGGATTTTGGCCGCCTTCGGTCCTTTTCCCGGGCCTCTGAACGGAATGCGGACTTCTGGGCCCCCCGCGGACCTCCAGAGACCTTCATGCTCGAGGCTCGATGCAGTTGTTCACTGTTGCTGTGAGTCCGCCCCTCGGTCGACCTGCCCGTCAGCTGCACCTTCCCTTGGCGATGTTGGTTGATTTGGCTTGTGCTCGGTTGCCCGTCGGTCGCTGTGGTCGCGCCTGAGGCCCTTCGGTTGCTCCGCCCACCGGCCGCCCCTTCCCTGGCTGATTTCGGTGGTTTGGGCCTGTCTGCGGTTGTCCGCCAATGGTCGCGCCTGACCCGCCGACCGCCCCTCGGCCACTCTGCCCAGTGGCCAGTGGCCGTCCTTTGCAAGGCCGCTTTTGGCTTGCGTTCGGTGGTCGGGCGGTTGCTCTGGTCCCGCCTGGCCCCTCGGTCGCGCTGCCCATCGGCCGCCCTTTCTCTTTACCGCGCCATGCGCCACGCGCCCTGCGCATCGCATAATCGCATCGCAGGACTCAACGCGCGACTCACCAACGGGTTGAGCACCCGGAAACCGTGTGGCCGAGAGGCGGCCGACGGGCCAGGCACGACCGGAGGAGCGGAGGGACCACCGAAATTATCTGAGCGACATCAGCCAGGGAAGGGGCAGCCGAAGGGCAGGGCGACCGTGGGGCGGCCGTCGGGCCAGGCGCGACCAGAGCAACCGACGGACAACCGAAAACAAGCTCGAGCAGCGCAAATCAGCCAGGGAAGGTGCAGCTAAGGAGCAGCTGGGCCCTGGGGAGGCGGGGCCATTGACAGAAACTGGTCACAGCTCCAGCGCTCAGCCGTCATTCTCCCCCTCCCTCCCCCACCCTTTTCCTCCCCCCCGCCCTCCTCGTCCGCCCCCCCCCCCGCCCACTCCCTCTCGTCTTCGTCTCCCCGTCCTTCCGTGGCACCACCATCCTCATCCTACTCCTTGTCCCCCACGTCCCTCCTTCTCCCCCTCTGCCCTCCCCATCCTCACCCCTCATCCTCACCCCTCATCCGATCCCCGTCCTCACCCCTCATCCTAACCCCTCATCCTCACCCCTCATCCTCACCCCTATGCCCTCCCCATTTTCACCCGCCATCCGATCCCCGTCCGCCATCCCTTCCCCTGCTCTCTCCCTCTCCGCGGACGCCTCAGGCACGCGCTTCGGCCAGTGCTGGGTGGCAGGGTGGCAGGCAGGCCTTGCTCGAGTTGACCAGGGCCCCCGCATCCGCATCCGCGCGCAGCGGTCGTCCTGCGAGCCCGGCATCCGGCCGCACTCTCCTCGCCCTCCTCCTCCCCCTCCCCGTCCTCGCCCTCCTCCTGCCTCCTCCTCCTCATCCTGCCCCTCCTCCTCCTCGCCCTCCTCGCCCTCCTCCTGCCTCTCCTCCTCCTCCTCGCCCTCCTCGCCCTCCTCGCCCTCCTCGCCCTCCTCCTTCCTCTCCTCCTCCTCGCCCCTCCTCCTGCCTCTCCCCCTCCCGCCCCTCCTCCTCCTCCCCTTCGCCCCGTCTGCCAGTCACGCCGGCCCTCGGCGGCGACCCCGCTGCTGGACTGGAGAACCTACCCCCCGATCGTCGTGATCCAGGCGGAAGGGGGGGGGGGGGGCACGGTGGCCCGGCCCGCCACGGACCCCAGAGGTCTTTCGCCGTTTTTCTAGGGTCGGAGGATCGCGCCGCATCGCCGATGCATCGGCGATGCGACTCGACGCGGAGCCCAGTCTCCTCCACGCCGATTTCGCCGAAGCATCGCTGGCGTCGCTGGTGCACCGCCAATGCATCGCCGATGCATCGCCGGTTCAACGGCGATGCATTGGCGATGCGGCGCGATCCTCCGGCCCCATCTACTCGGCCCCCATCTGGGAGGCCTTAGTCTTTCGGCCACGCGCACAGGGGGGCATGGGGGAGCGTGGAAGGCTTCTTCTTGGATGCACCCCTGCTTCTTAGGAGGCGCGGGCCTCAGCTACCTGTAGATGTAAGGCCGAAGAAGCAGCCTCTGAGAAGCCTCCCCCCCTCCCCCTACCCCCAGTAGTCCCTCGATTGCCGTGGCGGCCTGTTGAGACCAGCTGGGAATACCCCTGTAGGCCGTCTGCGTGCAATGTGCAACCCTAGGCGATTTTCCGACGGGAGGCGGATGAGGCGGATCAGGGTGAGGCGGATGATGATGATGATGATGATGATGATGATGATGATGATGATGATGATGATGATGATGATGATGATGATGATGATGATGATGATGATGATGATGATGATGTGATGATGATGATGATGCTGATGCTGATGCTGATGCTGATGCTGATGCTGGATCATGATGATGATGATGATGCTGATGCTGATGCTGATGCTGATGATGCTGATGCTGCTGCTGCTGATGATGATGCTGATGATGATGATGATGATGATGATGATGATGATGATGATGATGATGATGATATGATCATGATGATGATGCTGATGCTGATGCTGATGATGATGATGATGATGATGATGCTGATGATGATGATGATGATGATGATGATGATGATGATGCTGATGCTGATGCTGATGCTGATGCTGATGCTGATGCTGCTGCTGCTGCTGCTGCTGCTGATGATGATGATGATGATGATGATGATGATGATGATGATGATGATGATGATGATGATGATGATGATACTGAGGAGGAGGAGGAGGAAGAGGAGGAGGAGGAGGAGGAGGACCCAGGAACGGTACGGTACATAGTTTCGTCGGCCCTCAGAGCTGAAACACTGTGCACCGTAATTGCCGCGTTGAATCGGGGCCTGAAGAGGGTCAAACAGTGCGGTGCATGGGCGCCGTTTCCGTAAAACAGGAGTTTGCGGGACACAGGTTCGAGATCGGCGGCGAAATCCGAACCCTACCTTCGCCGATCAACGATTCAGAAAACTCGATGGGCGGCATGGGTAGTGTCCAGAATTCGTTGAGCACGTGGCGACATCCGAACCCTACCCTCCCATCGATTCAGGAGAACCGATGCTTGGTGGGGGGTAGGGTTCGGATGTCGCCACCTACGATACTGGCGGGCACGCAGATGATCTGGCAACGTGCTGCACGCATCCCGCTCGCGCCGGTGCCGCTCGATAGCACAGACTATTCGCAGAAGGGGTCTCTCCCTTATGCCCGACTGGGCCCCGTCCGACCTTGGGGCTTTCCGTTTGCAAATGCTGTTGCGGAGACCACGCGTAGCGATCGCTCCACGGTGATTACCACAATGTGGTGGCGCATCCCCATCCTGCATCTCGAAATTTCCCTTGCAAGTGCGACCTTGCTGCGCACAATCGCTGACCTTCCTATTGCGTTGTGCAAGAGTACCTCTCGCACAATACAACGCGGGCTGCACACGTACGCGCACATCTTGAACCGACTTTAGCACCACATCTATTCAGCAGGTCTCATTGCGCATGTGATGACAGCAGGCAGTGTTTCAATAGAACATGTTAGCCAGCGTGGACCCCCCAACAGTGATGTCTTGCAATATTTGCGGCGCAATTCGGGTGGTGCAATCAATGTAGTGCAACATAGGTGGTGCAATCCATCTGGTGCAAACTATGTGGTGTGGAGCAGTGCAGAACAATGCAATACTATGCAATACAATGCGTTGCGCTGCGCTGCGCTGCGATTGCACTGCAACGCAACGCAACGCAATGCAATGCGATTGCAATACAAATCAACTCAGCGCAGCACATCGCAATGCAGCGAGATTAACATGATGCAACGTAGTGCAAAGTCTTGCAAAGCAATGCGCGCTAACGCAACTCACCGCAATCCGACGCAAAGCAAAGCAATGCTGTTGCAGTGCAGTGCGCAGCCATGCAAAAAGCAGCTCAAAGCAGTGCACAGCAGTGCAGTTGCAGTGCAGAGCAGTGCCACGCAACGACACGCAACGCAGTGCAGACGGGGCACAGCAGTGCCGTGCAGTCCAGCGGCGGCGGCGGCGACGGGCGGCCACGAGCCGGCCAGGCCGCCACTGCGCCCAGAGTTGCCGGCGGCGGCGACGAGCTGCGCCGGGCCGGCCACCTGCCGCTCGGAGCGCCACTCGGGCTCGGTTGCCAGCGGCGGCGGCGGCGGGCGGCGAGCGGCGGCGTTCGGCCACATGCAGCCCTGACGGCCTCTGAGGCTCAGGTACCTCAGAATCAGGCAGGGGCGAAGCGTCCTGGCGTGCCTAGAGGCTTACCAAAGAATCCTACGGGCAAGCGCTGTTTGGGGAATCTGTTAGGCTTCCCGAGTGCGCGCCTGCGCGCGCCCACACGCGAGTCACAAGAGATCCATGCGCGTTCTAACATTATAGTTCCCCAGATATCAGGATGTATATGCCGTGTCGGCGAAAACTTGATCTGTTTCTGGGATCGTGTCGCGTGGGACACCCGCGCTCCGCTTTTGCGTTGGAAGCACCGCTCGTTGCACGAGGTCATGCGGAACATTACTCTGGTCACGCTCGCGAGCAAACCAGCCTGATTGCCATTATCAAGGTGCGCACGTGAATTTCCAAACATCCATGGCCTTGACTTAAGCAACACGGTTTCTCTGGTGTAATCACTGGGCAGGTGGATGGGTTTGATACAACACCTCGGAGAGTATATTCTGCTCGTCCGCCGCGGTGCCACAGGCACTGAGGTGAATGTTCTTAGTCCCCTTCGAGCTCTGACTATCCAGTATTGTACGTGCACTCGTACACTCACGTCATTCATAAACAACATGTTTTTGCACACGCTTTCGCGATGGCGCCAGAGGCCCCCGAGACTCGCCCAACAGGCCCTCAAGAGGGGCCCAAAGGCCCAACAGGGGGAGCTCGAGGGGTCCGGGCCCCTTGTGACCATTCTCCCTAAGACGACTTACGAGTCCGCCGGCGGACCCTGACGCCTGAACACTACGCGCAAGCGTGCTGGCGCCCGCACACGCGCAATCTCTCAGTGCACTGCTGGAGACGCATGGAGATTGCTCAAATGAGGCTGGCATGCTTGCCCAACTTTGAAGGTCATGCCTTCCAGGGCGCGCCCATGAGCTTTCCCATCATGCCCTCTCGTCCTTCTCTTCTTTATTCTGCTCCAGTTTTCCCCCTGCTCATCCTTCTCTTCTCCTTGCTCACACCTCTTTCGGTCCGAGGCCACTCTGACTCAAGTCCGTGCGTGCACCAACCCTACTGACTTAGCGATCGGAATGCCTGCACCCTGGCCGGCGGCGGCAGTGATGTCTCATCGCTCCGCCGGCTTCCTCGTTTTGCTGGCGTTGCCAGCGCGGGCCCTCGTTAGGAATGTGGGAACAAACAACGGCATAAGCATAACTTCTCGGAGGTCCGCGCGGATGTCTTGGATCGGCGCTGGACACCCCATCCCCAGGCCCAGGTCCGATCCAAGAATTTCGTTCGAGCCTCTGAGATATTATGCCTACAGTTGGCAGTGCATGGTTGGCAGGTTCCCCCCACCTGTGGATAACGTGCACCGAAGAAGCTTTGACAGCCCTGGCAGGGGGGTCGCGTGCCCAGAAGCGGGGGGATCCCCTCACAGGGATCGCGTGCTTTTGGGAGATCGATGTAGGACGCAATCCGAGCCGTTCGATCATGGACCCCTTGTTGAACACAACAATCCAGCTGTCGCGCCGCAGACCACTGGAAACGGCCAAGCACCGCCAGAAACCGCCGAAGACCGTCAGAAGACCGCGGAACACCGTCCGAGGACCGCCGAAGGCGGTCCAGGAGCGAGGGGTAACGAGGGGTCCATGGTCGAACACGCCACGCTCTGCTTCCAACGCCAGCCACATGCCGTTGTTTGTCCTTCCAAGGAAGGACCTGTCCGCCAAGTCCGCCGCCCTCGATGTCGGCTCGGACCTCGCCCCTGTGACCAGGCCGGGCACGTCCCTTTTGCAAGCGGACTTGGAGTCGGACACCGAGCGCGTCGCCTCGATGGTGGAGCTCTCGACGGAGGAGTGGGCGGCGCAGCACCAGGCCGACTACGAGAAGGAGACGTCTTCTAGATCGGGGGTGGACAGAACTCCTACCCTGACACGTCGATTAAGGAATTGGCTGTTTTCGGTTCGCGAGAGGGCGTCGCGCGGGTCGTCCGGGCCCGTCGGTTTCGGTCCCAGGCCGTTTTCACTAAGGGTGGTTTACTAAACTGAGGTTCGTCCACCGCCGACTAAACAAAAAGACGGAAGAACTAATAATGACATGAACATCGGAGTCGATCGGACTGCTTGCTTGGGCGGAGGGGGGGGGGCGATCCCCCGCAATGGACATTACGGGCTCGCCGAATAATATTGGGCAGCAGTCAGTGGCATAAACATGTACTTTCGGAGGTCCACGCGGATTTCGTGGATCGGCGCTGGGCCCTCCTGGCGGCGCCTCATGCGCGGCCCCTGGCGCGCCCGCGGACCCCCACAACTTTTGTTTTGACGATGCCATTGGATGTTCTTCTGTAGTGCTCGGCGGTGAGCCCGTAACGTCCGTTGCGGGGAATCCCTCTCCCCAAGCAAGGAGTCCGATCGGGTCAATGCTCGGTCCTCGGGCGGAACTGCGTGAACTCTCCAGCATCACTGTTGGCACCCGAGGGACAGACGCACGAAGGCGTCCTGGTATTCAGAACAGGCATTGGTCAGTTACGCGTGCTTCATGCCCCGCCCCCTCCCCCTCGTGGGTCCGAGCGTCCGCGGCGGGGGAGTGCCAGTTCCCCCACAGGCATGGCGCGGTGCTCGCAGGCGACCTGTGGTATTGAGAGGCATGCTCTGGTGCTCGCAGGCATGCCGTGGCGCTCGCAGGCCCGACCCCCTCCCGACCCCCTGCAGCTGACGCCACGGGGGGAGCAGAGAGACAATTTCAAGGACTTCACGATCCAGCTGGACATGACTCCGTACGTGCAACTTGACAAGGTGTCCATCTCGAGGAACACAGAACGGCACAAGCACACGAACATTCGGAATTCCGCGAGGATCTCTTGGATCTGCGCCGCACGCCGCCCGCGCCTCTCTCGCGCTGCGCTCCTCTCGCGCTCCGCTCGCGCCGGGGTGGGGGCGGGGCTCTCGCGCTGGTCCAAGAGGTCCTCGCGGACCTGCGAAAGTTTATGCTTCTGCTGTTTATTTTTCCTCGGCCATCGGTGCAGACCTGTACAGCAAGTCGGACCACGACCCGCTCACCATCTCCGGGTGGAACGAGTCGGGCCCCGTGGCGGCCTGGAACAAGGCGCACCCAGACCAGGCCGTGCAGCTCGGCGACGAGATCGCCAGGGTGAGCACCGTCGTGTGGAACCACCGCAATCGGGAGTTCATCCGCCACATCAAGTTGCAGCTCGATATCCGTAAGGGCTTCGCCCTCTACCGCCAGACTTCCAGGGGAAGTCTGAGAGCCCTGGGGGGAGAAGGTAGAAGGTGTTGTGCCCCCCCCTTCGCGCAAACAGTAACGAGCTCCAGTCGGAAGCAGCAAGTAGAACCACAACATTTGGAAACCGGGAACTCGAACTGTTGCAGGGTGCCGAAAAGCCTCAGCCCCACAGCTTGGTGGCCCAAAATCCGCGAACGACTTGTATGCACCATACCGCGTTGGCGTCTCCCGAGGCGTCGTCAATCCTCGAGCCTGGAATGGTATGGTGTTCAATGTTTGGGCCCTTCGAGCCAGGACACTGCACCCTACCCCCTTGGAGCAGGGCCTGATGGTGGTCCCAACATGGTACGGTGCATGGGGGTCGTTCTCGTACCCAAAGGGGGGCGGCGGATCTTGAAGGATGAGAATGCTGAGGGGGAGAAGAGGAGTGTCCTGGAGCTCGTTCTCCAGCGCCCCAGGCACTCGAAATTGCCGACCGAGAGCGCGGCGCCCGAGCTCGCAGACGCTGCTCCTGCGGAGGTCGACGCCACGGACGTCGGCAAGGAGGAGTTCACGGTCGAGCTGAATATCACTGCTCAGGTCGAGGAAGACTAAAACGGTGTGAACATGAATTTTCGGAGATCCGCACGGATTTCTTGGATCTGCTCTAGGCCCCCCTGGGCCCATCTCGCGCCGCGCGCCAGGGAGAGTGGTCCAGCGTGGATCCGAGGCATCCGCGCGGACCTCCGATAGCTTATGTTTATGCAGTTCTTTGTTTCTCTATCAGGGGGGCATCGGAGCCGAGCTGTACAGCCCATCCGACCGCGACCCGCTCACCATATCCACATGGAGCGAGTCGGGCCCTGTGGCCGTTTGGAACAAGGCGCACCCGGACCAGGCCGTGCAGGTCGGCGACGAGGTCACCAAGGTGAGCGACGTTTCATGGGACCACCGCAACAGGGAGTTCCTTCGCCTCATCAAGCAGCAGCTCGAGGCCGTGAAGGAGCAGCGGTCGGGAGGAGACGGCGTCGTGAAGGTCGTCCTCCAGCGCCCCAAGAGCTCGAAGACGGTGCCGCTCCAGATGGCGAAGCTGAGCGCCCGCAGCGCAGACACCTCGGCCGAGGGCGCCTCCACGGCCGAGGGGGCGCAGGGCGAGGGCAAGGCCGAGGTCGCCGCCTCGACCGGGGTTGCCTCCGCGGCCGCGGAGGCGCAGCGCGAGGGCGCGGCGGCGGCCGCGCAGCCGCAGGAGGCTCAGGCGCAGGAGTCCGCCGAGGAGCTCGCGGAGAGGCAGAGGGTCCTCAGGAATGCAATGCAGGCGGCTGCGCGCGAGGCGAGGGACAAGGCCATAGCCGAGGCGGAGCGCGCGCGCGCAGCCACAGCGGCGGCCGCGCAGCTGCAGGAGGGTCAGGCGCAGAAGTCCCGCGCGGAGATCGCGCGGGAGGCTAAGGCCGTCAGGACCCGTTTGTTGTTGGATGTTCGTTTCGAAAGTGTTCCCGGGGTCCATCTTAGCGGGTTTGCTCGACTCCACTTCGACTCCATTTCGATGTCCGATCTTAGTTCGATTCAAGTTCGACCCACGTCGACGGTTGTTCGACGCAGCATCGACGCATGAGTGCAGCGAGTGGCTCCATGAAGCCTTGTTTTATATTCGAGGCGCTGCGCGTCCCGTCCTTCGTCTTCCTCCCCCCCTCCACCTCTTCTTCCCCCCTCCTCGTCCTCCACCTCCTCTTCCTCGCCCTTACCCCCCTCCTCCCTCCTACCCCCCTGCCGCCGCCCATTTCGGCGCACCCCTCACTCCTGCCGTGCCGCACAGGGAGCTCCACCTGCGGCCCCTCTGTGTGTGTGTGTGTGTTTGTGTGTTTGTGTGTGTGTGTGTGTGTGTGTGTGTGTGTGTGTGTGTGTACGGGCGTGCGCGCATGCCGTCACCCCGCCCATTTCGGCGTACCTCTGTACGGTTTTCTCTGCCATAGGGGAGTGCCACATACAGTCCTGGTGGGTGCGTTCGCACGGCGCTGCCCCGCGCCTTTCGGCGCACCCTAGCGCTCTCATCGTGCCACGCAGGGAGCTCCACCTGCGGCTCCAGTTGGCGAACACATGCACACACACACATTCACACACATATTCACACACACACGCACACATACACACACACACACACACACACACGCACACACACGCACGCAACACACACAGACACACACACACACACACACACACACACACACACGCGCACGCACGCACGCACGCACGCACGCACGCACGCACGCACGCACGCACGCACGCACGCACCACGCACACACACACACACAAACACACACACACACACACACACACACACACACACACACACACACACACACACACACACACACACACACACACACACACACACACACACACACACGCGCGCGCACGGCGTTCGCGCACGCGCACGCGCACGCACCCGCACACGCACACGCACACGCACACGCACACACACAGTGTGTGCTTCCACCCAATTCGCCGCACTCCACGCGCAGCGCGCCCCGTGGGGATCTCCACCCGCGGCCCCGGTGGGCGGGCTCGCATGGCGCTGCCCCGTCGACGTCAGCGCACTCGAGCGCGCGGCTGGTGCTCCGCAGGGAGCGGACGGTGCTTGTTCTGGTCCTGAGACCCCCTCCTCGTCTTGTCTGTTCTCCTCCTCCTCCTCGTCCTGCTGGGGATGATCAACAGACAGACCTCCCGCAGCGTGCAGGTCACGAGGAGAGGATTGTGCATTGCTCCACACGCAATTGCACAGGGTTGGGCCGTCATCGTGGCAATTGCATTCGCCTTGCGGTTATGGGGGTAGGGGAGACGGTAACGTCGCGACATGCGTTTGCGCCGTCAAGGAGCGGCCAGGGATATCGGAATATTATTAGGAAGAGCGAGCAGACAAGGATTGCGTGCGATAGCCAGGGTTCTCTGAAAGTGTTTGCGAGAGTACAGTCAACCCGCATAGTAAGGATGAGCGACTTTCCAAGGTTACCCTTGCATCTTTCCGCTTCGGCCCATCCTTGGCCGCTTTCGCTGGGCGCGCCTCGATCGCAAAGTGTCGACATTGCCTCTCAAGGCCCTTGCATCCTTGTCGTGCGTCCTAATTCTACGGGTTGGCTGTAGCTATGAGCTGCCAGGCTGCCAGCTGCTCACCTGCGGTCACTACTGTATGCCTGGGAGCACTACGCAACGTGCCCGAGCGCACCACGGTGTGCTCGCGACCACCAGACGGCGAGGGAAGCCAGGCCCTCCCAGTAGTCCAACGACCTGCGAGCGCCATGCGTATGCACACGAGTATGCCGAGCCTGCCAGCACCGCAATACCCCTCGAACGCCACGGTATGTCTGCGAGCGTCATCGGTGCATCTGTCAATTCGCGTGGACACAAGCTTGCGTGCGCAGCAACGTGCCCTCGAGCAACACTGAGGTTGCGTTTGCAGGGAGGCGAGGGCTGCTGGACCCTGCCAGTTTCGCAATAGTTGATGAACGCCACACCTGAACCTTGCCAGTGCCACTTTGGCTTGCCACCGCCAGCAATGTGCTCGCGAACGCCACAGTGGTCAGCGAGCGCCAGCGCATGCACAACAAGAAAGAGATCCTCCCAGTACCGCACTGGCTGCAGGCTCCTCGGTGCGTCTGCGATTGCCATCACTGCGCGCGCGAGCGCAACAGCGTGCGCGAGCGCCGCATTGTGCCTGCGAGTACCACAAAGTGTGCAGCGCAGACCTCGAGCGAAAAGCCGGGCCCTGGCATGACCAGGTTAGCGAGGGAGCACCCCGCGACTCTACAACAGCGTGCGAGCCTTTCCATTGCTGCAAAGGCTGTGAGCTCCTCGGTATGCCAGTCACCAGCAACGTGCCTGTGGGTACCACAGTGCGCCTACGGTCACAACAGCGTTCTTGAGAGCACTACAGTGTGCCTGCAACCGGCTGACTGCTAAGGAGGCCGGCCCCCTTTAATTACAGCACGAGCGTGCTAGCATCGCGCGCATGCAAGACAACAGGCCAGATCTTGCCAGTGTTGTGAAGGTTGCGAGCTCCTCGGTACGGTGGATCACCGTCACGTGTGCGTGCGTGCGAACACCACAACAGCTTGCGAGCGCCACAGCGTGCCTGCGAGCACGCCGGTGCGTTCGCATTCAAGAGGGCGTCGAGGGAAGCCAGGCCCTGGCGTTGCCAAGACAGCGAGTGAGCCCCGCACGATTTCACAGCACTATAACGTACCCTGCCAGTGCCGCAAAGGCTGCGAGTTTCGCAATATGTTTGCGGTGACCAGTAACGTGCCATTGAACATTGCAGTGTACCTGTGCTCACAACGGCGTCCCTGAGAGCACCAGAGTGCGCCTGCAACCACCAGACGGCGAGGGATGCTGGTCTCGGTCATTATTCCTCTCGCTTCGCGGGGTGCACGTCCGGAGCACGTACAGTCACGTCGCGGGGCCTTCTGGGAGCCTCTTGGGGGCCTCCTGGAGGCCTCTTGGGAGCTTCTTTGGGCCTCTTGGGGACTTCTTCTGGCCTCTTCCCCCCCTTTTTTGACTCCCTCCCCATCTTCCCTTCCAGCGCTGGCTCTAATCATGGGCGCCGCCGTGACCAACTTCCACCTGGCTGGCGCTGCGCCGCAGTTCGTCCAGGGGGGGAAATAATATTACACTCCAGTCGCTATGTGGCCTTTGGGGGGCTTCTTTGGGGCCTTTTGGAGGCTTCTTGGGGACTTTTCGGAGGTCTCTGGGGGGCTTTTTGGGGCCATTTGGGGGCCTCTTGGTGGCCTCTTGGGGCCTCTTGGGGGCGTCTTGGGCCGTCTTGGGGCGCTTTCGCGCCGTTTCGCCCCTTCGGAGGCCGTCTTGGGGGCCTCTCGCGGCCGCCTTGGGGCCCTCTTGGGGTCCTCTTGGGCCGTCTCAGGGGTTTCTTGGACCGTCTTGGGGGCCTCTTTGGGCCGTCTTGTGGCCCTCTGGGGCCGTCTTGGGGCCCCCTTGGGTGTTTCTTGGGCCTTCTTGGGGCCATCTTGGAGGCTGCTCGGGCCGTCATGGGCTTCGGAGAGGCGAAAAAGGCGAGAAAGCTAAAATCTTTCAAAAACGTAAGGAAAATCAATGTTTTTGGCCTCTGGAGGCGCTCTTGTGGGCGCTCTTGGAGCCCTCTTGGGCCGTCTTGGGTTCTTTTTGGGCCCTCTTGGGGCCATCTCGGGCCGTCTTAGGGCCGTCTTGGGCCGTCTTGGGGCCATCTGGAGCCGTCTTGGGGCCCGTTGAGACCCCCAAGAGGGCCAATGTGCCGAAATCATTGATTTCCCATACGTTTTGGTACGTTTTGGGGCCCCAAAAGGGGGGCCGCCAGTTTGGTACGGCGCTGTGGCGCGACTCCAGGGGGGGGGTAGGGGGGGAGACATAATAATGTAATCCACTACAATATGTAGCAATTATGCAATCATTGGACACATTGGATCCGTTGCATTACAGCATCCGCGGACCTGCCTCCGGCAACACGTCACTTCCGGACGTGGATTTTAGGGGCTTGCGCCATTTCGACGACCCCCTGAGAATGATGCAGAAGCAGGGCGATGATAATATGGACGATGACGACGTTGAAAGTAAGTAGGAGAAGAGGGAGAGAGAGAGAGAGAAGGATGCGGACGATGGGCAGTTGTTTCATGTTCTGAGGACTTGTCGAGGTCCCCCTCGTGGAGCCGCCTGGGGCCCTCTTGAGAGCCTCTTGGAAGGCCTCTTGGACTGTCTTGGGGCAATCATGGATGCCTCTTGGGCCGTCTTGGAGCGTCAGAGGTCAGAAAAGGCGACAGCGGTAAACTATGCCAAACATATGTTCAGGCAAATCAATGACTTGGGCATCTTGGAGGCCTCTTGGGGGGCATCTTGCATCGCTCTTGGGGCGTCTTCGGTGCCTTTTGGGCCGGCTGGAGGCCATCTTGGTGGTCTTAGAGCGCTCTAGGGCCGTCTCGGAGCCCCTCTGGCCCGTCGCGGAGGCCTCTCAGGTTTCTCTTGGCCCGTCTTGGGGCCCTTTTGCCCCTCCGAGGCCCCGGAGGAGCGCTGATGAGCTCCCCCCCCCATGCTGGACCCCAAGGGGAGGGGGAAAGGAGGAAGGAGACAGCCGATTATCCTACAAGTCGTGTCACCCCCGGCACGCGGGGATCGGCGGACAGTAGCAGCGTGCGAATGGCATGCCACGCCACATGCACAGCAATACGCTTGCCCCAACCGCTTGCGAGCATCATGGTGCGCCTGCTAGAATCAATACCTGCAGAAGGCAACCAGCTTGATACTCTCACCAAGTCTTCATAGCCGCTAACTCATCTAATAGTTTTCTGCCTCCGTGCTAGTCCCTGATGCCCTTAGCTAGCCATAGCTATGCCCACACAGCGCTAGAGCGATTCGTGAAGTTATCAGGGGAGGGGGGCCAAGGAAGCGTGCGTTCTCGCAAAACGGATGGGTGGTTCAAGCCAATCTCCAGGAACGCCGCCAGAAAGGCGGAGCGTGAGGCGAAGGAGAGAGCTGAACAAGAGCAGTCCAAGGAGGGTCAGGCGCAGGAGACCGCCGAGGACACTGCGCAGAAGGCAAAGGCCGCCGAGAGCGTCGCCTCGACCGAGGTTGCCTCCGCGGCCGCGGAGGCGCAGCGCGAGGGCGCGGCGGCGGCCGCGCAGCAGCAGGAGGGTCAGGCGCAGGAGTCCGCCGAGGAGCTCGCGGAGAGGCAGAGGGTCCTCAGGAATGCCATGCAGGCGGCTGCGCGCGAGGCGAGGGACAAGGCCATGGCCGAGGCGGAGCGCGCGCGCGCAGCCGCAGCGGCGGCCGCGCAGCTGCAGGAGGGCGAGGCGCAGAAGTCCCGCGCGGAGATCGCGCTGGAGGCCAAGGCCGCCAGGAACGCCGCCAGGAAGGCGGAGCGCGAGGCGAGGGAGAGGGCCGAGCAGGAGCAGAACAAGACGGCGGAGAACGGGGCCACGCAGGAGGCCCAGGCGCAGGGGTCCGCCGAGGACGCCGCGCAGAAGGAGACCACCGCCGCGACCGTCGCCTCGACCGAGGGCGCCGCCACAGCCGAGGAGGCGCAGCGCGAGGGCGCGGCGGCGTCCACGCAGCTGCAGGAGGGCCAGGCGCAGGAGTCCGCCGAGGAGGTCGCTCGGAAGGAGAAGGCCGCCAGGAATGCCGCCAAGAAGGCGGAGCGCGAGGCGAAGGAGAGAGCCTTGCGGGAGGCGGTCAAGAGGGCGGCAAATGAACGCAAGCAGGCGGAGAAGGCTGCCCGCGAGGGCAGGGAGTGGGTCCCGGCGGAGCGGGATGCCAAGACGAAGTCCGAGCCCGAGGCCAACGCCAAGGCCGAGATGCAGGCCGATGCTCAGGACGCTGGCAACCGCAATGCCGAGCGCGAGGCCAAGGAGGCCGCTGCCGCCATCAATGCTGAGCGCGAGGCCAAGGAGGCCGCTGCCGCCGTCAATGCCGAGCGCGAGGCCAAGGAGGCCGCTGCCGCCGTCACCAAGGAGGCCGCTGCCGCCGTCAATGCCGAGCGCGAGGCCAAGGAGGCTGATGGCACGGACTCTACGGAGTTTACGATCGAGCTGAACTTGGCCGAGGGTCACTCCATCGGAGCCGAGCTGTACAGTCCAACGGACCACGACCCGCTGGTCGTGTCCAAGTGGAGAGCGGGGAGCCCTGTGGAGGCTTGGAACACGGCGCACCCCGACAAGGCGCTGCAGGTCGGTGATGAGATCACCAAGGTAATCGCAGGTAAACAAACTGTATTAATATAACGTTCGGAGGTCCGCCCGGACCTCCGAAAGTTGTTGTTTATTAAGCTTGTCTTCTCTTTAGGTAAACGACATCGCATGGGACCATCACAATCGCGAGTTTCTCCACAACCTGAAGGAGCAGGTCGAGATCTTGAAGCCTCGGGGCGGAAAGTTGGGGCTCGTGATCAAGCGTCACGGGCAGCCGAAGGTGCTTGCAAAGAGCACGAGGCCGGAGGCCCGCAATGACGCGCAGCTCACCCAGCTTGTCGAGGAGTTGTTCGAAGTACAGATCAATTCGACGGCCGTGGCCTCGATGGTCGCCCAGAACTTCAACACGTCCGCTGCTGATACCGATCCCATGACCGTCACCGAGATCCCACTCGAGAGTCCGCTTTACAAGTACAACTCGCTCTCTCCCATAACCCCAGTGCAGGTCGGCGACACGGTCGTGGCAGTGGGGGGGAGCATGGGGGGTAGCCTGGAGTGGTCCGGCAGCGCTGTGCAGTTCCTCAATTTCTTCAACGCGGTGGACTTGGGCCGCATGTCTCAGCCACCAGTCCAATTTCCCCCCTCCTCTCCTAGATTCTTCCCCGCCACGGACATTCGAGGAAGAACATATCAAATGCCAACGAACTTTCGAAGGTCCGCGCGGAGCTGCAACAGTTTATTTGTCTGCAGCTCTTTATCATTCTATTTCTCGCGTGGGCGAGCGGGGAAGGCGGAGGATTGGTCTGGTGGGTGTGACGGTGGCCTGTCAGGTGGAGTCGACGATGCTGACAGGCCACGTCGCGAAGGGTTCCCACTCGGTGACGCTGCGGATGAAGCGGCGCTCGGTGAAGCCGATGATGGCCTCGGCGTTTAAGAAGGAGTAGGTCTTGGCAGGAAGCTTGCGCACAGAGACTGACAGTACGTACTTCTGACTCGTGAACAGGGCGTGCGCGGGGAGGGGAGGATGGGTGAGGGTGATGGGAACGCGCAGGGTGAGGGGAGGAATGAGGAGGCGGAGGATGGTCGGGACGGGAGGGTTGTTGATGAGATGGCCTTCCACATCCGCACGTCCGTGGCTCTCCGTGGCAGCATCTGACCTCTCGGTATGGACCTCCGTGTATGCCCTTGAACGGCAGCAGGGAGGCAAATGAGAAACATAGAAGGACGGGAGTCAGAGAGAGAGAGAAGGAGCGACATGAAGAGAGAAAGCGAGAGAGAGAGAGAGAGAACACGAGAGATAGAGAGACGGGAGGGAGACGTGGGGAACAAAAAGAGAACCACGAGCTTATCCCCAACATTTCCCGAACACGCAACACAACTCTGTGCTACTTGTTGTCTTAGTGCGATTGTCATACGTTCGGACTTCCTGGCTCCATATCGCCCACGGCGGCTAAACACACCCCCAGTATCGCCCCAAGACGGCCCAGCATGGCTCCAATGCCACCGCTACGGGCCTAGATGGCTCCAAGACGGCCCAAATGAGCTCCATGACCGCCCGAGCAGGCTCCAGGGAGGCCCTCTAAAGCCGTCCAACCCGCGATCTGACCGCAAACCATAGTTTGCACGATGCCATCCCCCCCCCTCCTCTCCTCCTCTTTGCTTTCACTTACCCCGCTTGCAAGATCCCCTGAGACCATACTCCCGCTTCATTACCGGCATGCAGCATCTGTTCTAACGCTGGCAGGCCCCGCCCGTCGCAAATGTCATGCGTTTCTAACCTAGCTGCATCCGTGCCTCGAAAAGTTTATGTTTCGAACGTTTGCAAGACTTTCAGAATTTCCGGCAGCCTCTGCCCCTCTCAATGCACGGGTCTCTGTCGAAGTCAGGATCTGTTCTTTTGTGAAATGGTCGGCTTCCTATCGATGGCAAGTTCCGGCCATTGCAAAATGCAGAGGCCTCTCTCGCTAACAAGTCCGTTCTTTGGCTCAACACTTTCTAACTCTAGTGGCATTCACCGTTCGCAAGACGAGGATAAAAAGGAGGAGTTGTAGGACGAGGAGGAAGGAAGCAAATGACAGAGCTTACGAGGAGGGAGGAGGAAGGTGAGGAGCATGTGGGGTTGTTCGAACGTGCCGGCTCGCGAACGGCGCACTTCGCTGCGCCAGCGCTGTTTGCAAGGATTCTGCCCCAGGAGCTCGTTCGAAGTGTGCTGGACTGCGTCCGTCAGTCGCCCTGTTGCCAGCGGTGCTGCCGGGATGCCAGGAGTCTCAGTCCGAGCGTGCGGGCTCGTTTCCAGCGCACACACACTGCGGCGCGAACGGTTTTCTGTTGATGAGCCTCCCGCTGCAGGGCCCGTGCCGATTCCCTCCCGTGTCGTTCCAGTGCCCTTCTTGTGAGCTTCGTGAACGTGCCAGCTGCTTCCCCCTGCGCTTCGCGCTGCCAGCGTTGCTGCAGAACGCGCGCGCCAAACGCGCCGGCTCGCAGGAATGGCGCATCGAGTTACCAGCGCTGCCGGCAGGAAACTCATTTCGAGTGCGCTGGCTTGCTTATGATGCATTTTTCATGGCCAGCTCCTCTGCAGAGGATGTTGCCGATCAGCTCGCTGCAGGCGCGCCCGCTCGCACTTGATGATCATGACGCTGCCAGCGCTGATGGGAGGAAACGCGCTCCAATCGTGCTGGTTCGCGAGCGCCGTACATCGCCTGGCCAGAGTTGTCGGCAGGAAATTCATCCCGAGCGTGCCGGCCCGCTTACGGCGCACGTCGCCTGACCAGAACTTCCGCCAAGGAGCTCACGCCATGCGTCCTCGTTTGTGCCCGATGGTCATTGCGCTGCCAGCGCTGATGCCAGGAAATTCAATCCGAGTGCGCCCGCTCGCGTCCACCACACCTTGGCCGTTTGCCACGCGGGTGGCGACGGAAGCTCTCAGATTTGCAATTCTTTCCACGCCTATGAATATATATATATATATATATATATATATATATGTGTATATATATATGTATATGCACATATACACACACACCTGCATATATCCACAGATGCATCTACACGTAGAGTCACGCATTCATGCTCCATATATAAGCACATACATATATGTATGTATATATATATATATACATGCATTCGGACAAGATGAGTTGGATACAGAGAGGGGTTGGAGAGAGAGAGATAGAGAGAAAAAAGAAAGAGAGAGAGAGAGATCAACAAACAACATCAAAGAGACATGTGTATATATAGAGAGAGAGAGAGAGAGAGAGAGAGATCGCGAGGTGCACAGAGGCAGAGGAGGACAGGGAGACACGGACGCTGCCTGGGACCAGGAGGCCAGAGAGAGGTGGAGAAAACCGCCGCCAGGCGCTTCTGTCGGAGAGGCCAGGCGGGACCGCCCATTGCCTCGTTTTCTCCCCATGCTTTGGGGCGTAGCCCGGATTCATATTTCGCGAGATGGATTGGGTTGGCTTGATTGTCTGCGCCCCGCAGGTAGCCGTTGCCTACGCAGCTTGTCCGTAAGGTTTCATCGACCGTCCAAGGCGAGGGTTGCCCTGCCCAGGCCCGAAAGCGGCAACCCGTGGGCTCCCGCACGGTCTCCCGCGTGGTTTGTTTGCAAGGTCTCCTGTCTAGGTTCCCGCATGGTCTTCCGTCTCGTATTTCAGATTGGTGCTCTTGTCTAGTCTCCTCCATGCTATTCTGCCTGGCCTCCCACACGGCTCTCCATGACGTGCATGGCCTCCCGCATGGTCTCCCGCATGCAATCTCCTGTGGTATCCCGTATGGTCTCCCGTGTGGTCTCTCTCGCGTGGTCTCCGCGTGGTCTTCCGCATGGTGTCTCGTATGCGTTTGTCTTCGCACGGTCTCCCGTATGGTCCCCCGTGCGTTGCATCGCCTCCCACATGGTGTCCCACGATGTCTCCCGTATGGTCTCTGGCATTGGAGGACGCGTTTCAGTCGAGTGGCGTGCGCGAGTTATACCAAGACGGGCGCGCATTGTTGTCCAGCGCTGCAATCTCCTGCGTCGACCGGGCATGCGCCGACCACCATCTAGCCGAGGTGATCCACCACAAAGTCGGGTGCAGCGTCTTGTCCAGGGACCCTGGGCTATCCTCGCACGCGCCTCTCCAATTCTTCCGCATTTGCACAGCTTGCGGCCATTCTGCCGAGGCCGCTGAAATGACCCGCGACGAGCGCGAGAGATGCAGCCACGACGACCGCGACAGCACGGAAGCAGGCTCGCACCACCATCGGCACTATCAACCACCCCGTCTGGGCGCGATGGGTGGCTGCAGACTTTGGTTGCATCTCCAAAGGGCCTCGCGGTTACGACAACCCCGTGCGTCAGCTCGCTTTGGGGAAGCGGGCCATGCGCGCGTTCGCTGCGAACATGGCAAAGGAAGGCTTCTGCGCCACAGCGTCCACAATGACGACAGGCTCCCTACACTCTCAAGTATATCGAGTCGGCGTCACCCCAACATACTAATACTATGTGTTCGTCGCCCCCCCAGGGGCGACGCGCACACCGAGAAATGTTATAGTCGGAGTGAGGGGGCTGAACCGAACGTTCATTCACTGTCCCTGGGTGCGTGGCTGAAGTGGAATTCCGCGATGCGGATTCTTGTTGTTGTTGTTGTTGTTGTTGTTGTTGTTGTTGTTGTTGTTGTTGTTGTTGTTGTTGCTTGTTGTTGTCGTCGTCCCACCCGCGACCCGCCCCGCGACCCACCCGCGACCCGCCCGCGACCCACCCCGCGACCCGCCCACGACCCACCCCGCGACCCACCCGCGACCCACCATGCGACCCACCCGCGACCCACCCGCGACCCGCCCGCGACCAACCCCGCGACCCGCCCGCGACCCACCCCGAGACCCCCCCGGCGACCCACCCGCGACCCACCGGCGACCCACCCGCGACCCACCCGCGACCCACCCCGCCACCCCCGCGACCCCGAGACCCACCCGCGACCCACCCCGACCCACCCGCGACCCACCCGCCACCCACCCCGCGACCCACCCAAAATTTCCGGCGCCTGCGGCGGGCTTCTTTTGCATTCGTTCCAGGTGGAGAACCTGCGACCCACCCGCGACCCAAACCGCGTTCAGCGTACAAATCAATATTTTCGGTACTTGCGGCGGGCTGTTTATGAATTCTTTCGAGGTGTAGGTGGAGAGCCCGCGACTCACCCGCGACCCAAACTACGTTCATTGAACGAGCCAACACTTCGGCGCCTGCTTTTGCATTCGTTCCAGGTGGAGAACCTGCGACCCAAACCGCGTTCAGTGTACAAATCAAAATTTTCGGCGCCTGCGGCGGGCTGTTTTTTGAATTCTTCCCACTTCCCAGGCGGAGGTGGAGAGCCCGCGACCCACCCGCGACCAAACTACGTTCACTGAACATGCCCAAAATTTGGCATTTGCGGCGGTCCGCCGGCTCGACGCCCGCGTCGCCCGCGCCCGCCCCCTCACTCTTATCCGCAATTGTGGGGTGCTACGATATATGCGTCGTGGCGGGCGCTTTCTGGCCACCGCTCGGGAAACGATATACTACAAGATGGGTGTACTATGTGTGGGTAGGACGCGCGCCTCCACGGAGGACATACAGTATTAGTGTGTCTCTGTGCGTCCCATGGAATGTGTGCACAGTGCATCTTTCGCTGGCATCAAGAGCCCGAGTGCGTGCTTCGCGATTGGCTTCCAGGCACGGTTGGGCCACGCCATCTCCCCGGCGAGGGGAGCAGCACAGACGAGCTGCGCGACGCGTGGCACCGCCGGGGCGAGGGCGACCGCGACTTCAAGACCACCGACCGCAAAACCAACATCTCGGGTGGGTGGTAATGCGGGGTGACCTGAATGGGGGGTGAAGAATAGGGCCCTGAAGGGGCACTTTAGGGCCCCTTTTGTGCCCCTGTTGGCTCCAGAAGGGGCCCTGAAGTGCCCCTTTCAGGGCCCTTTT